AGCCACCTGTGTTCCCGGTCCATTTTTGTATTTATATGAGCAATAATATTGTTATCATGTACACTGCTGTTCGCGACACGAAACATCTTGATATTGCTATAATCAATTTGTAAAAAAGGCCAAAATTTTACATTTTCTGGCCGCAGACTCATGATGTATTGTTATCTTGAAAATTATGTTGCGATAGAGGCTAAGAAGGCCTCCCAGTATTCGTTACTTTTTTTATACTGTGCGGTCGCATCGTCTATAGGCTTCATGTAACAATTTGGTGGTGTTAATTAAAAAAGACACCTCAATCATATGGCCTACCCATATAATCAAAATAACATCATCCGCTTGCAAAGCACAGTGACGCAGTATTATACACGATAAATACTCTTTTGACTATATTTTTCAAATAAATTTAATGCGGATCGATTAATGAGTTTAGAATAAGTTATTTTGATTGGTCAGCCTTTAATGTGAGAATAAAATTATTAGAACTAATAATGTGTGTTCAGGTCTGTAAATAGCGCTGGTAAACGTGATGAGAGATGAAAGTCTTGTCAGGACCTACAAATTTAGTTAAATTTTACAGCTAACTTAGCAAGAGAGACTAGCTACAGTTCGTTTTCTCCGACACTGATTAAACTATAAAAAATTTGGATCTGTTTCTTCATAACGCGTATAAATATTACAATTTACAATATACATACATTTGAAATCACTACTTTCTCTGCCCTATAATTTCGCTATGAACACGACATAAATACCTATGCTTGGTTAACCATTAATCTTCACTATTTGCAGCGTCAACAAGAAACGCTAGCGGCAACTTAAATATTTTATTAATTATAGCTCTATTGCCATGATAATTTTCATTCATTCCGCGAACGATAACATTCCTCTGCTCATATAATTTTCACTCAACACAGACAAATGGAATTTTAGCATCAAAATACATTTCCTTGTCCAGCCTTCTGTTGCATGTGTGCTTTCCTTCACACACACTTTAGGCAATTATGAAATATTTGAGAGCAACAACTAATATAAAAGCCCATTATCTACGCTATGAAATTGCGCAAGCCCCATAATTTATTACGTGTTTAATTTGCACGGGATTATTAATCCCGGATACAAACTCCCAGCAATCGATGAGAGGCGTTAGAAGCTCCAAGGTCTCGTGCAGGGCTGCGCTCGTTGTGTTATGCAGCGCTGCTGCTGAGAGGGATCGTTGCTGCCTCACGATCCACCACACACGCAGCGCTCTGCCGCCGTGGATTAAGCACCATTTGTTATCACTCAAATTCTGTCAACGGATATTATTTCGAGTTCCCCCAGACGGTTAAAATCAACTCGTTGTTATTAGGCCTAAATTTTAATGGAATTTGTCCGCTCAAATGTTTGTTGTTCTTAGTTTGAAGGGAAGTAAAAATTGAACGATAAAATAAATAAAATCAGTATCCTCGATTTTAAAAGCGAACTGCACTTTTTCTGCCGTTGATGAAAGGGAATTTACTCGATTTCTTCGACCCACAATAGTATTTTTCTTCAGCGATAAGCTTGAAAGCAATCCTAGCTTCTTCCTTCACAGGAAAGTCGAGTAACGCTCCAACACTCCCACCCTCACAGCGCCACGACCGCAGCCACACTGACACTGGCTCAGTGGCTCTGACCACCTACCTGGGAGAACAAAGGCTTTACGTAAATGTTTCTCCAGTTACTGAAGTTTAAAGTTCATTGGTTGAATATTTCGTTATTAACTCACAGCCTTCATATAAATGACCGATTAGCCTGTTCTACGCAATGCTAACATTTTTATCTACTCATCCAATTTATTCGAAATAAATATTAATCGTAATCGTTCGCTAATTTTCAAATTAACAGATTAATTTTTTTTTCAAATTAAATTTTTAATCAAATTAAATTTTCAAACTTACATGATCTCTGCACGATTGAAATACGAATTTTTGAACAAAAAATTATTAAATAATTTTTATCAATAAAATTTACGAAATTCAAGGAGCTGCTACGACTTTTTTTTTATCTGTCAAGGCACCGTGCATACATTGTCATTGTTTCTGTTACTTGCACCAACCCAGCCTCACATCGCTCCTGACGTCCGTGCGCCGAGAATATCCGGGATTTAGGATCTGAAAACCGTGCAGGCGAGCGTCAAATCCGTAAAAAATCAACATTCAACATGTATTGCGTAACCCTTCAATTCTGCGTCGTTGTCTTGCTACAATAACCGGGGAACCAGAATGTTGTAACATTTTTTTTTTTGTTGTTATAGAGCTGCNTTCAAACTGGCATTGATCGTGTGTAAAGTTAAAAATTTAATTCATGGCGTTAAGAGCATTCAGTTCATCAATCCCACAATTATGAAACCTGAAAATTTATGGCGCGTTTCCATCGTTCATCGAAAATTCCTTAATTTAAATTCATTCATTAAACTTTAAATGGCTTAAGGAAAGAAATGTCCCAGCGAAAGTGAAATGCATCAATTTAATACCAGACTGTGCGCTGCATTAATAACTTTTTATTCATTCATATAAATAACTTAATCGAATCTAGGGTTGAGGGAAATGCAAATTTCGCATTAATCATTCATTATTCCGTTTACATGAAAGAGTAATGAATCTGGCTTGTGTACAGGAGGTCAGCGATTGAGATGGACAAATGACCAATGACCATATCTCGGTGATCAACGGTGATATCGATCAGGCGGGAAGACCGCCTTCATCGTAAAAATGTTCATCAGGCAAAACTTATTCAATTCGAACTGATTTCAAGAATACGATGAGCCTACATGTGACAAGCCTCACTTTATCCCCTGGAGTATCGGAGCTATACGAGACGGATTGAGGAATTTTGCAAGCCCTGCAAATTATTTCGTGTTTAATTTGCACGTAATTATTAATCCCGATTAATAGCTTACGGAGACTCCAACTCTTCATTTTCCGGCAATGTTCTCGAGCACGTTAGCACATTATATTTAGTCAGTCCAGCCCGCCTGTTCACATTTAACATTCGACTGTAGGTATTACCTTTCGATTAAGACGTTTTTTATTCAGTGGGGCTTGGAAATTATTTTAAAAATCGGAAAATTTACGAACATATTTTTCTGAGGAAAATCTATTGACGTTGTTTCAACGTTTTTGGTCAGGAGGGTAAACTTTAAAACAACGACAGTCGTGTTTGGTAGTGTTCTTAATTATTTCAATTTCAGATTCAACAGCAATGAAATGCAGTGAGAATTAAATTGTGCCTTGAGCTAAAAAACCTTTTCTACTATTATATTTATATTATAGAAAATATTTAGATTATATATCAAGGGGTGGTAGAAAATTAATTAAAATTGTTTGTAGGGACAAAAAGAAGATTTAGCGCTTATATCTCTAACCCTCAGAGCAAAATCCATTATTATATAGAAAGCAAGAATTTAATTTTGGTGTAAGAGTTGTCATCGTCGTCAGTAGTGAACGTTGATTCTAACATAAATTCTCAAATTTTGGGCAAACTTTTTCAAATCAGACGACATATTTTTGACTTTTTTGGCTCCTAATTTTTCACGAATCATTTTTGAAATGAGTCCTATGGCAATCCTGAAAGTATTTAATGCAACGCTTTAGTTATGCCGAGATCGCGCTATAATAAAAATAACTTCAATTCGGTGACAAAAGCTCACATTCCATAGTTCGTGATGTAACTAACCCGGTAGAGTAGACATTGTTCACTAATATATCATCCCATTCAAATAAATAGCATCTGTACGAATAAGTACACAAATTTTTCAGTTGATCCCCAAGTTTTTTTCTGTATTTAATTTTTTCCGTGATTTCTTGCATGCATAAATGAATGAGACGAAATTTCAATCGCAACAAAAAATTGCGGTCATTAATGGCACTCTGAAATAAATTATGATGATTTCTCTGCAAGTTTAAGGAATATAGTAAAAAATATAACTCAGTACTCACTGCAGTGAGTGATAGAGAGCGCATTTTCTCGTCGACGAAAACGTGAAGTCACGGACAGACAGACAAGAAAAGATTTCGAGATTCTTTGGAAAATAATAGAAATTTGTTAAATTTTAATTTAGTCAAAACGCCAGCTGGCTGTGATGAATTTGCATGGTATTTTACTATATTGAAAAGACTGTCAACATTCCATTTTCATTGGACGAGCAATGCTCATTAAAATGCAAGCAAAAACTCATTTCGATGATCGAGCAAAAATCTTCCAACGCCCGCTTCGATGTAATTTCTTCTCGGTGTTAACCAGTTGGAATTCAAAGCAATGTTTTAGCCTGACTAAGAGCAGGCTATAGAAGCATTGGGTGAGCAATAAATTGGGCAGACATGTTTCTTTTTGAGGCCTTCATATGTATACAATAAATTAAATCCATGCGAGGAATCGGGCATGGATTTAATGGATTTATTCTCCAGTTGAGGATTGTAATTGAGCTGTACCGTAACGCACAAAGCACGTTAAGAATGTCACACAGTGACTTTTAAGTCAGCTCGATACTTGGCACCATCGTTGTAACTACGCACAGCTCCAGATACTCAGTCACTCTCAGTCGTTCATTGTACTTGGTGTCACTCGCTCTCAATTAATACGCCTGGACAAAAGTAAAAATACAGTTATTGAGTTGGTCTATTCAATAACTCAAAAACTAAGCCAATGTGATGTGGGGAATAATCAACTAGTCAGTTCCAGTCTTGGTACATCATCATTTTCATAGCCTGAAATTATTTTGAGGCCTTCATATGTATACAATAAATTAAATCCATGCGAGGAATCGGGCATGGATTTAATGGATTTATTCTCCAGTTGAGCTGTACCGTAACGCACAAAGCCTCGAAGCACGTTGAAAATGTCACACAATGACTTTTATGTCAGCTCGATACTTGGCACCATCGTTGTGACTACTCTGCACAGCTCCAGATACTCAGTCACTCTCAGTCGTTCATTGTACTTGGTGTCGCTCGCTCTAAATTAATACGCCTGGACAGAAGTAAAATACAGTTATTAAATTAGCGAATTCAATAAGTCAAAAACTAAGCCAATGTGATGTAGAGAATAACCAACTCGTCAGTTCCAGTCTTGGTACATCATCATTTTCATAGCCTGAAATTATCTGATGCTTATCGCCATTAATCATTTATTGCTCACGCGCAACGATCCAAACGATCGAAGCCGTTCTGAGAATACGAAGTTCTGACTCTGGACAAGCCGTTCGCATCGACCCCATCAGCTGCACCAACACACACGCTGCACTCAAACAAAGAATTCCATGGCGATTAGCCGAAAGACTTTTTTCTTTGAAGAAAAGCATCAATATCGTTCAAATTGATACTTGCCACTCGATTGGAAGAGTGGGATTGTAGGAACGCAACACAAATTATCATTTTATTTCAGCCTTCACTGATACGCGATTGAATCACGAATTGTTTTCATACGCAAAATTAGTGTTGCATGATGGCAGCCAATCTTGCAGATGGGGCTCTTATATTTCACACAGACGGAGTGGCGGAAGAATACTACCACCACCGCCCCTCGCCCCCCGCTGCTCTGGTGGAGACCGTGGTCAACTGGTGGAAGAAAGTAAGCAAAAACATCGTTGACGGAAAACCTTATACTATCTGTCTTCCGATGAAATATATAGTCCAAAAAAGTAGTCGTCATTCTAAATGTTGATTTATTCTTACTCAAAAATCATATTCTATAAGATTTTGTAATTACATGCACACTCCCCGGCATGTGAGTAATTTGGACTATCCTTCCTTGAAGTAGCAAACTATTTTTAGTCCTCTTCTCATTAACAACGTTCATTCAGAATATATATTTTTTGAAGAAAATGTTCGGGGCGATACTTTTGTCATTGTTTCGTCGCTGCAATTCTACAATAAAGACAATGTTTGCCTCGGACTTTGTTCAGGGTGCATCGAACGAAGGAGCTACTTTGCGTAGCGGTCGTGTCCTGGACGTTGGATGTGGTACGGGCCAAAGTACGGTCCTCTTCAAAGACCTTATGGCGACCGTGACCGGTGTAGACGTAAGCAAGGAGCAGGTGGACCGTGCCAAAAAACTCTACGGCTCATCGGACGTTCTGAACTTCATGTAAATAAAAACGATTAGTTTGTTATCTTGTCTTACACATTGAGCCTTTACAGTGAACGAAAAATACTACCATTGCAAGCCTTCAACTTTGCATTGAATTTTCATCAGCCAATATATGTTCATTACGTTTTACTTCGTCTCTGATTGAAAAGCGACCAATGCTGATAAATATTTGGTTACACTCATTCACTTTTTACATTTTTCTTCACTATCGCTTGTTATGCCAAAATGCAATAACTATTCTCTGGGCAAATTTTAATTAGGAAAACCTATGTAGTACGAAAATAATGGACAGGATTAGACATTTTTCTTTTAAAATTCACATTTTCCAATATGAATTTAACCTAAGCTGTTTAAATTTCATTTATATTATAAAATCTTACATCTCAACTGATTCCAGCGTGGGCAGCGCAGAAAGCCTGCCATTCAGCGCCCAGAGTTTCGACCTGGTGACAGTTTGCGCCTCCATTCACTGGTTCGACTTGGAACAATTCTATCAGCAGGTTAGTTGCATGCACACGTTACTCGGGCCTCTTATTCATGTATGAATACGTTGTGTGCACTACATTATTTTACTTTTAGGCACACATTGGAACAACTTACACTCTATAATTATTATGTTAGACTGTCTATGATTAGCTTGGCAATTTATCAGTTACATAAACATTAAGTCTCGACAATTAATTTATTTAGGCATAACCAAAGTTTGTTGCTAAAAATCCAGAAATTATTTATTATTCTATGATGCACTTACTTTATTTCATATCAGCTTGCTGGGCTTCACGTTATACTAGTATCATACTAAACTATTTAAGATGAAAATCATTTTATGTACCTATACATGGTCTATCAAATACTTGAATGTTGATAGTGAAGTCCGTAGATATAGACCGTCATCCATATATTCCTGTAACGAATTTACGAATCTGCAAAACGCGACAAGTGTGATATTAGGCTAAGCAATTCACTTCTAAATCAAACATTACTAAGATCACTTGGATGTTGGGATCAAAAAATCACAAATGATTTATAAAAAATATGTTTTTAAATTACTTTTAAATTAAACTTTGCTTCGGTGAGAAGGTCAAAATGTTCTGCTGTTCCATCAGATGTCATGTTCTCGACGTAATGCCAAAATTAAACGCGAAAATTGAATGCAAAATCAGATGTTTGCAAAGAGAATTAATATCGTACTGTAAATATTTTTTTAGTGTAAAGCTTCACGAAGATTTTACATTCGTTTACACCGTAATCTCGAGCATTAGCTTCTGAACATGTATTTGTTCCATTGCCCTTCCTACTGATTGGAAGCTAATTAGAACGTATTGATGAACATAACTGAGAAATCCGAATTTCATATTATTAGAGCTCGTTAAACTTTAAGCGACCATTTAGCAATTATAACTAAATAGAAATACACATCGTCACACCAAAGAAAATTAAAAGAACCATAAAACCAAGTCTCGCAAAAGTAAGTATATAAGTACTTACATCCTTAGTCTGCTTAAAACGCAAGTTAATTAACAAGGAAATTAAAAGCAAAGACAACGCCAAGTAAGTATTTTGTAAGTAAGTACTTTGAGTAAATAAGTAAAAGTGTCAAAAGTAAGTATTTTGAGTGCCTGCTTCCTAATGTAGTCATGATCTCCCTAATAGATAGAGTCGCCAAAAAGCGTGTTGGGTCGAACTCAGGGAAAGTCTGTGCATTTCTATTGACTTTGCTGCGCTGGAAATGCTGTACCTGTGATATAGTTCAGAGAAGTGTGACTGGCGAGACGAAGTGTGACTATAGCGAGACGAAGTGTGACAGGTTAAAGACGAAGTGGGCCTTGCGAAAGACGAAGTGTGACTGGCGAAAGACGAAGTGTGACTGGCGAAAGACGAACAGTGACTGGCGAAAGGCGAAGTGTGACTGGTTAAAGACGAATTGTGACTGGCGAGACGAAGTGTGACTGGCGAAACGAAGTTTGACTGGCGAGACAAATTGTGACTGGCGAGACGAAGTGTGACTGGCGAGACGAATTGTGACTGGCAAGACGAAGTGTGACTGGCGAGACGAAGTGTGACTGGCGAGACGAATTGTGACTGGCGAGAAGAAGTGTGACTGGCGAGACAAGACGAAGTGTGACTGGCGACAGACGAAGTGTGAATGGAGAAAGACGAAGTGTGACTGGCGAGACGAAATGAGACTGGCGAGACGAAGTGAGACTGGCGAGATGAAATGTGACTAGCGAGAGATAATATGTAACTGAGTCACACTTGGTCTTTATTTTAACACCGCAATGAACCTTCAGTGAACCCCTGTTCTCTATGCATGAGCCTGCATAATTTATCTACTAAAAGTGTCTCTTAACGCCTCGTTTTTTTTTTCATTGTGTGCAGATAGGCTGAGTGTGCAGTTCATTAAAATTTAAAATAGTTTGCGTGCTGAGGCACCCATTTTTTTCATTGTAACCGTTGAAGGTTGATCGCGTGCTGTGCCCCGGAGGCGTGCTCGCCGTCTACTCCTACGTTGACGTCCACCCTCACCACTGCAGCATAAATCTCCGGCCCATCACCAAAGAGGTGGGAGGTGTTCAGCATGTGGCGCACGCCATGTGATAGTCTCCGGCCCATCACCAAAGAGGTGGGAGGTGTTTAGCGTATTTATTGTCTGGTCTTTCAATTTCTACTCGAGGTTAGAGAGCGTAAGAACGTATTTGATTGACGAGCTGTAGTGTTGATTTGAAGTGAAAAGGCTTGAAGTGAATCAGTGTTGTTTAATTATCATAATCTTCAAGATTGTTTGTTTTAAACCGATCAATGCATTTATTTATTTATATGAAAAAAAAACATTCACCTATAACTGCTGTTGTTTAGTTTTTAATATCTAATATTCCAATTGAGATATTCCATTCCGAAATTTTTGGGAGTCCTCTTCCTGAGTCTTACAATAAAATTATGATAAAAACAACTGAGCTTTCTTCCAAATAGGACCTTGATTCGCTTTCTTTAGTCATTTTTGACCCTCCTGATGGATTATTGCCGAGCCAATGCGAGTTGAATGGAACCGAAGTGTGCCATGCAGGTAGACTCGCGCGTTTCTTGCAAGCATTTTACTTAGCATAAAAAGTTTAATCATTGAGACTTCATTCATTCAATTTGAAACGGGAGAAATCATGATTTACCGAAAACATATGAAGACACAGAGAAATGTCATAAGAAGTGATTGAATTAAATAATTAAATAAATAAACATAAATATTGCACGCAGTTCAGAGATGCCTTGGGGTTCTTCAGTCGCCATCACGATCATCTGGTGGCAGAATTCCGAGACTTGCCGGGCCCCTACGCGGAGTGGATACATATTGGGTGTGGGGACTGTCCAGAGCACAGTTATTGGTGTGGTGACTGTCCAGAGCACAGTTATTGGTGTGGGGACTGTCCAGAGCACAGTTATTGGGTGTGGGGACTGTCCAGAGCACAGTTATTGGGTGTGGGGACTGTCCAGAGCACAGTTATTGGGTGTGGGGATTTCTCAGCACAGTCCATTTACATATCAAAATTTCTTTTATGTGAATTGCACCTCTGGCCCTAGAAGTTGCCATTCCATTTAAAAAATCGGTTGTACGAAAATTTGCTAAAATTCTTTGTGCTGTATAATTCGTATTATTGAACACCGCAATTCTTTTTAGCGCATTTTCTCATTTATGGAAAAAAAAGGCGCTATTGTGCTCGCCATATCTGTCTGTCCGTCCGTGACTTCACGTTTTCGTCAACGAGAATATGCGCTCTCTGTCACTCACTGCTGTAAGTACTGAGTGACTAAGTACTGAACTCACTATTGTTTTTAAACCTTCTTGGCACAAATGTTAGTATTCACTTGCAACTTCAAACTTAATTCAACTTAATATCTTTTAGTCTATGTTGCAAAAACTCCTATAAACCTGCATCTACACTTTACAAATTCATGTCGTATAGTTGTACCATAGCTTGAAGAATTTTTAAACACATACAATTTAAGTTCGATTTACATGCATGACAACATCCATAGTCTGCCGCTTTTTCTGAGTGAGTTAATTTATTGTAGAATCTGAAGACAAATGAAGAGCGGAGTACAAAACACGATAAACTTCCACCAAGAAGTGATCATGAGAGTTTCATTAATTCTTTTCATATATTTATTGTTGAGTTTGTAGGTTACAAGCAAGAAAAGTATAACAAATTAAACGATGAATATTCTGAATTGTGGTTCAAAGATATGAAGCTTTCAGTTTATAGTTTTAAGTTTATCATTGTTACCATTTAAAGAAGTTAAGGAAGAAAATGAATTGAAGATTATGTTACAAATTAAAACACAATATTACACTAATGGAGCTCCAAGCTTAAGACTTTTAAAATTAACGTTTAAGAATGTCTCAAATGTCATGCGTTATTCCAGACGGTTTATTTCAGTTACTTGAATATTCTAGAAGCCTATAAGAGTACCATTGAGTTACTCTTTTACCAATGTTATGTAATGGATGAAAAGCAAAATCGAATGTCTATAGACAGTAACGACAGAGAAAACGTTGAAAATAGTGTCTGTGTTCACCATTTGAGTCGAATATTTGTTCAGATTCATACACCCATGACAAATGTAAACGCGTGGGCCAAAGATACCTTAGGAAATTCCGCTCTGACCTCAAAGTTCTATTCTCTGAAGCAATCAAAGACCTTCTTGCATAGAAATGCACGCTGTTCAGCCGAGCGTAAAACCTGCAGTGTCCAACGGTAGGCGCTAAGCCTCATTTACATAAGGAAATGCAAAGGATCGAATGATAAAATTTTGAACGATCGTGATAAAATCGAAACAAAACAAGTGCCGAATATGCTCAATTAGAAACCGAAGTTCTCGATGTGTGTCAATATAGAGACTTGATTTTCATGCGTGCTGCGCACTCGCTGGTTGTTTAAAATAATTATTATTTCGGCTTATTTTGTGAAGCAAATTTAAGTCCTTAAGCATGAGACAGGTGCAAGGTGAGAGCAGAAATACTTGTNCGTGGTCATCGTATTGCTTACTTATTTATAATATCTTTGTAGAAAACTTTAAAAACTGTTGAAACTCTATAGAGAAATAAAGTCCGATTTATTATTTCTTATTTACAATATCAATAAAAACAATGGTTTTTTATTTTCTGCAAATCTCAATTGAATAGCATGTACTGAAAATAGCACAAATCGTGCTAATTGGGTTTGAATTTTATCACACTACAAATTTATAAGGCTATTGCTAAAATTTGCTCAATTCGTCCTGACATAATTGTATAGATTACAAATCACTGAGCACTATAACTTCAATATTGATGCAAGTAGTCGCCTCTAACGCCTCACAACTCACGTCTAGTCGTCTACAATCACAAGTAGGTTTGTTAAGTAACAATAAGAAGCGAATCCGTTTTCCCTGAACATCAACTTTTCGGGAAATAACTTCTATTGCAATTTAAAATTTTTGGTATTACTTGTGTGCTCAGTATCTCTTCGTGAAACGCCTACCTGCACATAAATTTGGCCGTATTTTAATTTCTCCGTTGCTTTTATACGTGTTATCATTTAACTAATACGTGTTATCATATAACTTTATACGTCTTATCATAAACCTCATATAACTTTATACGTCTTATCATAAACCTCCTGACAAATTTTCCAGCATTGCAATATTTTAAAGGTAGAGAATTCCATGATGCGTTTTCACTCTTGTTCTGTGTCCAGGAGCGACGGAACGGAAACCCGCAGTTCGATTGCAGATGAAAAAAAATCCTCTTCATGCGGAACCAAAAGAAACACTGACGGAACAAGAAATGACGGCGAGGACAATATAACCATTAATGAGCATCATAAATTTGGAGTAAATAAATTGTCTAACAAGTGTGAGGTAGAGGCCGACAAAAGTGAGGAGACGAAACATAATTTTACGTTGGTGCAGCAAGGAGACTTGTCCAGTCTGCGCGGCTACTATGCTTCGTTTGCTCCTCTCCTGCGCTACGCAGAGCAGCACGGCACCAACCAAGCTAATGAATTACTCGACGCTGCTATGGTCAGGTAATAAATGATTTACTGATGCTCTATAAACAAATCTTAAGCCTCGAATGGAAAGGAATTATTTGCTATGGCGACGAATAACATTATAAGCTTGTCTGTTTGCTTGGATGAATACTAGACTAATTGTGTGATTGAATGACAAATTTCGGCTCTTCTTCCTAATCATTTTTCACCGGTCTTTCGTCATTTTTTGTGATTTCTGGTCGCACTTCCGTCTAAAGCCACTTTTTTTTACTTGTGCCAGAATTTTGGAGGCGATAGGGCGGAGTGACGACAATCCTCCTCTGGAACTTCACTGGCCATACTTCCTGAAAATGTGGCGTAAGCCCTTCGATGGACCAGCGCCCGAGCCATCAAGTACCCACACCTCTGACGGACCAGCGCCCGAGCCATCAAGTTCCCACACCTCTGACGGACCAGCGCCCAAGCCTTCAAGTGCCCACACCTCTGACGGACCAGCGCTCTAGCTATCAAGTACCCACACCTCTGACGGACCAGCGCCCGTGCCATCAAGTACTCATACCTCTGACGGACCAGCGCCCGAGCCATCAAGTACCCACACCTCTGACGGACCAGCGCCCGAGCCATCAAGTACTCATACCTCTGACGGACCAGCGCCCGAGCCATCAAGTACCCACACCTTTGACGGACCAGCGCCCGAGCCATCAAGTTCTCGTACCTGAAACCCTCTTGACGCATGCCCA